CGAGCTTCTCATTGCGGTGGCTTCTCTTGTTGCAGAGCACAGGCTCTAGGCGTCTGGGCTTCAGGAGTTGTGGCTCGCAGGCTCAGTAGTTGTGGCGCACGGGCTTAGTTGCTCCGTGGCATGTGGAATCTTCCCAGGCCAGGGCTCGAACCCGTGTCCCCTGCTTTGGCAGGTGGATTCTTAACCACTGCACCACCAGGGAAGTCCCCAAATGTCTCTTTTTGATCCAAATTGTGCCTGAAAAGAGAATAACATAATTTGTGTAAATCCACCAGTATAGCTGGAAAAGAATAATTTAAAATGCTTTTCCATTCGACTGGAATAATAAAATTATCATTTTCATCTAGACACTAGTTAGTAGTCATTTAGAAAGGTACTTCCTATATATACAGACAATTCCTAAATGATTCTAAATGAACAATTAATTGATCCATCTAATGGAGATGGGGTTTCCTAAATGTGTTTCATTGTGTACCAATCAATGTACAGATAGAGCCTTATTTACTATCTTAAAAATTTTATAACTGGAAGTTTGTACCTTTTGACCATCTTCACCTATTTCACATCCCCTCACCTCTGGAAAATGCCAGTCTGTTCCATGAGTTCTTTTGTTTTTTGTTTTTTGTTTTTTTAGATTCCACATGTAAGTGATGAGATCATATAGTATTTGTCTCTCTCTGTCTGACTTACTTCATTTAGCATAATGCCCTGGAAGTCCATCCATGTTGTCGCAATGGCAGAATTTCCTTCTTTTTTTATGGCTGATTAATATTTCTCAATATGCCACATCTTCTTCATCCATTCATCCATTGATGGACACTTGGCTTGTTTCCATGTCTTGGCAACTGTAAATAATGCTGCATTGAACATGGGGGTGCTGATATCTTTTTGAGTTAGTGTTTTTGTTTCCTTCAAATAAATATCCACTTTGAATAAAAAGTTAAATTGCTGGATCATTTGGTAGTTCTTTGAAAAAGTTTTTAGGAACTTCAATACTATTTTTCATGGTGGCTGCACCAATCTACATTCCTACCAACAGTACACAGAGATTCTTTTGCTCCATATCCTTGCCAACGCTTGTTATCTCTTGTCTTTTGATAATAGCCATTCTAACAGGTGTGAGATGGTATCTCATTGTGGTTTTGATTTGCATTTCCTCGATGATTAGTTATGTTGACCACCTTTTCATATATCTGTTGGCCATCAGTGTGTCTTCTTCGGAAAAATGTATTTCATTCTGATCTTCTGCCTATTTTTTAATCTGATTGTTTTTTTGCTTCTGAGTTGTATGAGTTCTTTATATATTTTGGATATTAACCCCTTATCAAATATATAATTTTTGAATATTTTTTCTATTCTGTAGATTGCCTTTTCATTTTGTTGATGGTTTCCTTTGCTATGCAGAAGCTTTTTAGTTTGATGTAGTTCCATTTGTTTATTTTTGCTTTTGTTGCCAGTAGAGCCTTATTAAAATGAAGGAAGCAAAAGGCTTTAAAAGATTAGAAATCTGAGCACTCTAGTTTTACATCAAAATCATTTGTTTGAACCACACCAAATCAAATGGTAGCAGAGGAAAAAATAATGATGAATTTTACTCCTTTGGCTACCGTGGTCACATAATTATTGGTAAAATAATTTGGTACCATCTGTGTATCAGAAAGAATATGACATATCCCTTACACCTATCTTTGAACTACAGCTATGTGAAAATTGATTGATGATGATTGCTATAGTACTATTCAGCAGTAAGGCAAAGGCAAAATGTGGGGTTTTTCAGTAAAATACTTAATCATGCAGTGAATTTTCTCCTAAAGCGAAATTCTAAAAAAAAAAAGTCCACTATGGGGGCCAAACTAAAAATTACATAATTTAAAAAATTGACATATAGTTGATTTACAGTATTGTGTTATTTCAGGTGTACAACATAATGATTCCTTTTTTCTTGTAGATTATATTCTATTATAGGTTATTACAAGATATTGGGTATAATTCCCTATGCTCTACAGTATATTTTTGTTGCTTACCTATTTTATGTATAGTAGTTTGTATCTGTTAATCCCATACTCCTAACTTGTCCCTCCTCACCTCCCTCTCCCCTTTGTAACCATGAGTTTGTTTTCTATGTCTGTGAGTCTGTTTCTGTTTTGTATATAGATTCATTTGTATTATTGTTTAGAATCCACATGTAAGTAATATCATATAGTATTTTATTTCTCTGACTTATTTCACTAAGCACAATATTCTCTAGGTCCATCCATGTGCTACAAATGGCAATATTTCATTCTCTTCTATGGCTGAGTAATATTATATATATATATATATACCACAACATATGTATACCACATCTTCTTAAACCAATTGTCTGTTCATGGGCACTTGGGTTGCTTGTATGTCTTGCCTATTATAAATAGTGCTGCTATGAACACTATTTATTTGGGTGCATGTGTCTTTTTGAATTAGAGTTTTTGTTTTTTCTGGATATATACCCAGGAGTGGAATTGCTGGATCATTTGGTATTCTATTTTTATTTTTTTAAGGAAACTCCATACTATTTTTCATAGTGGCTGCACCAATTTACATTCCCACCAGCAGTGTACAGGGGTTCCCTTTTCTCCACATCCTCTCCAGCATTTGTTGTTTGTAGACTTTTTGATGATGGCCATTCTGACCAGTGTGAGGTGAGGTGATACCTGACTGCGGTTTTGATTTGCAAAAAATGCACAATTTTCATAAGTGACAAAAAAACAATCAAACCTAACCAGCTCTAGCAGAAGTTTCTCATTTTTGGATCAAATTTTTGTATAAGTGTATAATGAAATACAGGAAGCTAAGTATAATGTGTCACTGTATGAGTCTCACCTATAAAATAATTTGCCTTGACATTTCTGGAATCTAAGTCTTGTGATGGGTGAAAATTTGGGGGACAGTTTCTTCTGTCCTCTTACTTCTACTTGCATCAGGGACAATTACTATGGCTCTTTTTAGAAAGAGAAATACTTGTTTCTTCCTCTTGTATCATGGAAGTTTCATATGCCCAATCCTCTACATGTCTGAAGATATCAGAATCCTTTAAAAGTCTCATATTTAAATATTTAATCCACAAACTTTTATGGAGGTCCTATTCTATGCTTTGAATCTACAGCATACTGTAATTCAAAGATAAGTAGGATACAGATTTTGCCTTCCAGAAACTCAGTATGGATTAAAATGTACAACTACTAAACTACCTTAAAAAGTATAAATAAATTCTAGACTTCAATAAAGATATTTAAACATTAGAATGCAACTATGAAAATGATGGCAGGAAGGTCACTGACTATGTTAGACTTATTAAATATGAAGCTGTCATTATCCCCCAATTGATCTATAGTTTCAAAACAATTACAGTCAAAATATAAGCAGGGTTTTTTGAGACCCATACAAGTACAAACAGCTGACTTTTGACCAAGTGTCTAGGTAATCCAACAGAGAAAGTATAGCTTTTTCAGCACATGGTATTAGAACAATTGGACATCCATGTGCAAAAACCTGTCTCAACTTATACCTCATACCTTATATAAAATTAATTCAAAATGGATGACAGACCTAAGTAAAACTATATAACTTTTAGGAAGAAACAAAGGAGAAAAACTTGCTTTTACCTTGGATTAAGCAGAGTTTTCCAGATATGATGCCAAAAGCATATTTAATCCATAAAAGAAAATACTGATAAATTGGACTTTTTCAAAATTAAGAAGGTTTTGTTCTTTGGAAGACATCATTAAGAGAATAAAAAGACAAGCGGCAGACTTTGGTAAAATGTTTACAAAGCACATATCTGACAAAAGAGTTGTATCCAGATACAAAGAACTCTTGAAACCTAATATGGAAACAACACAACTAAAAAATGAGCAAAACATTTGAACAGCCACTTGATGGAAAAATAAAAGCAGAAGGCAAATAAGCACACGAAAAGATGCTCAATTTCATTAGTCATTAAGGAAAGGCAAATTGAAACTGATAGGCTATGACTACAAACCTATTAGTAGTGGATGGCAAGACAACAACACCTGACAATACCAGGTGCTGATGAGGATGCAAAGCAGCTGCAACGCTTATACATTGCTTGTGGAAATGCAAAATTGTGCAGACAGTTTTTAAAACAGTTTGGCAGTCTCTAGTAATGTTAAATGTATACTTACTGTGTGACCCCAAAATTCCACTCCTAAGTATCAATATTTACCCCAAGACAAATAAAAATTGTCTTCACACAAAACAATATACAAATGTTTATGGCAACTTTATTCATAATCTCTAAAGACTGGGAATAAACCAAATGTCCATGAACTGGTATTGAATTAATGAACTATGGCACATCTATGTAAAGAAATACTATTCAACAATTTTGAGGAACATCTATTGATAAACAAAATAGTATGGATGAATCCCAAATGCATTATGTTTAGTGAAAGAAGCCAGATTCAAAAGACTACATACTGACTGATTCCATTTATACGATATTCTGGAAAAGGAAAAACTATAGGGATAGAGATGGAGACCAAATCAGCAGTTAATTTCACCAGGCAATAATGACAATTCTAAACTTGTATGATCTTCCTTCTTTGTTTCTTATCTCCCAAATTTAGAATGCTCCAGGACTCAGTTCTTAGAACTTTCCTAACACAATCTTTTCCTTGATGGTCACAATTAGGTTCCAGGGATTCAAATACCAGCTATATGCTAACTCCCAATTTTATTTCTTCAGCCAATACTTCTATTCTGCACTCCAGACTTCTTAAACCAATTGCCTGTGTGATATTTCCACATGTGAATCTAATGATATCTCAAATTTATGTCCAAAACCAAGCTTCTGATCTTACTTGCCAAACCTGCTCTTCTCCTAGGCTTTACCATCTCAGAAAATGGCAACTACGTCTTTCTATTTGCTTAGGCCAAAAGCAATGCAGTCATCGTGCATCCTAGCAGACTAATTTGACTCTGCTTTCTATTCCTCACTCCTACAGGCTACACATGACTCTGGAATTCATGTTCAAGGAAAGTAAAAGGAACAATGTCTACTTGGAGAAATGGTTGATTTCAAGCTGGGGCAAGGAAAGACAAAGTAAGTTTGGAATATCTCATTGTATCAGAAAGTAAGGAAGTTCTGAAAAACTGATGAGGACACAGGAGTCAAATTGAGGGGGGTCCCACTGGTCAAATAGTGGTCAAGTTCAGCATCAAAATAAATAATAGTAGGAATTGACTAACAAAAAAGAACCTATCAGTCCATGTTATTACAGAACAAAAAATCACCATTTTATAACCCCCATAGTAATAATTGATTCATACAAGAATCATCAAAATATATTAAAACTATTATGTAAAAGACTGTTGGGGAACAGAATATTCATAGTCTCAAAGTATCACTCTACAGAATACTTCCTAATTACAAAGGGAAAAGATATCTTTATACTGGAGAAATTCGGGAGGAACTTAGTGAAATGAACAAAGTTAACACCAAGAATGAAGCAAACTAACATTAAGACCCCCTCAGGTTTGATCATTCTCTAGAAGGACTCACAGAGCTCAAAAAAGCTGTGATTCTCGCAGTTATGGTTTATGATAGCAAAAGGATAGAGATTAAAATCAGCAGAGTGAAAAGGAGCATGGGGCCAAATCTAGGAGGAACCAGGAATAAGGCTTCTGGTTGTCCTCTCTCAGTCACACGGACATCACTTAATTCTCTCAGCAACCATGTGTGACAATATGTGTGAAGCGTTGCCAACCAAAGAAGCTGACCCAAGCCTCGGTGTCCAAGGTTTTACTGGGAGTCAGTCACATAGGCACACAGCATATAAAAACAGGTACTCACCATAAATCAAATTGTTAGCATAAATTATCTGATCAAAATGATACGGATTGCCCAAGGTCAAAGGCATTCAAAAAACACTCTTTCCAGGCAGGATATTCCAAGGGCTCAGAGGTTCTCCCCCAGGAGCCGGTCAGGGTCCAATCCTTTCTTTGGAAGGTGCAGAGTTTGAGCAATCAAGCCTGCTGAGTTAACTCTTTATGGCATACCACCTGATAGGAAAAGGGCACAAATCAACAATGTGGTATCCCGCTAAGTTTTTAACCTAGACCTAGTCATGAGGATATCCACTGATTGACATTTGGCAAAACAACTGTTCTGACTTTTTTAAAATGTCAATGTTTTGAAAGACAAAAAACAAACAAAAAAGATGGGAACTATTCTAGATTAAAGGAGACCAGAGAGACATCACAACTAAACACAATATGTGATCGTTCACTGGATGTCCTTGATCAAAACAAGAGAAAATGAAAACAAACAAACAAGCAAAAAACAGGTATAAAAGACATTATTGGGACAATTGCAGACATTTGAATATACACTGTTTAGTAGATAGTAATATGGTATCCACGTTAAATTTCACGAATGTGACAAAGATTCTGCTTTGACCTAACTTGTGTCAGGTTCCTCTGAGTTCTCTTTCTGACTATGCCCCTGACCTTGGGTTCTGTCTTTGGCCCATTTAGTACAGTTTTAGCAAGAATCCTGCTGGGTCAGTTTTTGGAAAATTTCCCATGCTTGGTATCTGACCACTTCTGACATCTGATCAAGTTCCCCATCCCTCATCTTCTATATCTTATCACCCTAGCCTCCCTTCAGCAAGAATCTTGTCAAATGGGTTAGCCAGAATCTCCCTACACTTGATGTTTCCTCTTAGTAATTTTCTATCCACAGACCTTCACCCTGTTCCTTCCTTATAAATTCCCACTTGCCTTTGTTAGTTGAGCTCAGTCTCTCCTCCACACTACAAAACCCCATTGTGGTAGTTCTCTCTGAATAAAGTCTGCTTTGCCATCTTTAACAAGTGTCATGGATAATTTTTTTTCTTTAACAAGTATAATAATTATGATTATGCAGGAGGATATTCTCGTTCTTAGGAGATAGTCTGAAATATTTAGGAGTAAGGTGTCATGATGTATGCCACTAACTTGCAAATAGCTTAGTGAAATGATTATAATTATATATGTATATGTGTGCACATACATACATGTACATATATGTATGCATGTTAATATATATGTGTATATGTGTGGGGGAAAGACACAGCAAGAGAAAGAAAAAAGTATATGTGACAAAATGTTGACAAATCTAGGATGAGTATTCAATTTATACTTCTTACAAGTCTTCTGGTTTTTAAATTTTACAAAATAAAAAGTTGGAAAAAATAATTCTATAAACCTTGGGGGTAGGAAGGAAAAAGTGTTAGGGAAAGAATTTTGCCAGGAAGGTAGCTGTAGCTTTTGGGTTTCTCCCCTTGATATTTATTTATTTATTTTATTATGGTGAAAAATATGTAACATTAACCATCCTAACCACTTTTAAGTATACAGTTCAATAGTGTTAAGTATATTCGCTAAGATTTCTTCTAGGATTCTTTCATCTTGTAAAACTGAAACTTTACATCCATTAAACAAACACTAATTTCCCCCTTCCCTTTTCCCCAGCCCTTGCCAACCACCTTTCTACTTTCTGTTTCTATGATTTTAGATACCTCATATAAGTGGAATCATACAGTATTTCTGTGACTGGCTTGTTTCACTTAGCATATTGTCCTTGAGGTTCATCCATGTTGTTGCATATTGTCAGATTGCCTTCTTTTTAAAGGTTGGATAATATTCCATTGTATGTATATACCACATTTGTTTAATGCATCCATCCATTGATGGACATTTGGGTTATTTCCACCTCTTGACTACTGTGAATAATCCCACAATGAACATAGGTGTACAAATACCACTTCCAGATCCTGCTTTCAATTCTTTTGAATATATACCCAGAAGTAAGAGTGCTAGATTATGTGGTAATTCTATTTTTAATTTTTTGAGAAACCTCCATAGTTTTCTATAATGGCTACACCATTTTACATCCTCACCAACAGTACACAAGTGTTCCAATTCCTCCACATCCTCACCAGTACTTGTTATTTTTTTCTTTTCATAGCAGTTATCCTAAAAGGTGTGATGTGATACTTCATTTTGGTTTTGATTTGTATGTATCTTATGATCAGAAATAAGTATTGTTTCATATGTTTGTTGGCCACTTGTATATCTTCTTTGGAGAAATGTCTTTTCAAGTCCTTTGCCCATTTTTTAATTGGGTTGTTTTTGTTGTCATTGAGTTGTAAGAGTTCTTTATATATGCAAATATATAAATATATGCAAATATATAAATATATGCAAATCAAATATGATTTGCAAATATTTTCTCCCTTTTCTGTAGGTTGATTTTTCACTCTGTTGATTGTTTCCTTTGAGGCACAGAAGTTTTGAATTTTGACATAGTTCCATTTGTCTATTTTTGCTTTTGTTACCTATGTTTTTTGATGTCATATCCAAGAAATAATTGTCAAATCCAATGTCCTGAAGCTTTTTCCCTATGTTTTCTTCTAGGAGTTTTACAGTGTTAGGTCTTACAGTTAGGTCTTTAATCCATTTTGAGTTAATTTTTGTATATAGTGTAAAATAAGGGTCCAACTTCATTATTTTGCATTGCATATTCAGTTAGCTATTGGTTTTTAAACTTCTTTTTACTGCATGACTGACTGAGGGCATTATAGTGGTCTTTTCTTTTTTGGTGTTTCACTTTAACTTGATAGGAAAAGTTATCTCAGTTTGATTACATAAACGCCATGTGTGAATTTTCTCTGTAGATATATTTGAATACATAAGCAACAAGTACATTCTTATACATTTTATAAATGTGTAAAAGGGAAAAAATCTGAGGAATTCTAATGGTGCTTAGCAAGCAGTAATATAGAAAAGTCAGTTGGATAGAAAGAGCAATAACAACAGGAAGAAAGTAATGTATTAGTTAATTTTCTTTGCAAAACTTACACTGTAATAAGAGGGATCTTGCTTAGAAAAGCAACATTGAAAACAAACTCATATGCACACATTGTGCTAAGTATTTCTCTGGAAAAAACCAGAAGAATGTCTTAGGTAATATGGTAGTGGAAGATGGGACAAAACAAGAGGCATTTGGATTAATTGAATTAGTGTCCTGTTGAATTTAAGAATACAGAGTCCTACACATGCACACATATAGATCAGTAGTAGATTTAGGGGAGCACTATTAGACTGCACCTGTTGGAGTCCTCAGTGAATCCAGTCCTTGTCTAAGGCTTCCAGTTGGAGCTGGCAGTTGTTGTAGGGATTAAATTATTTAAAGCCTTCAGCTGGCTAGTGTAGGCAAGCAGTGGCTTAGAAAACACTTAATCTATTTTTTAAAATCTGTTCCTAAGTTTGTTTTGCTTAGGCTGTAAGACTACGTGTACCACCCACCTGCCACATTCTAGAAACCTTTTGTCAGGGAGGGGAAATTTATTCAAGAAAAAGAGATTTCAAGGGGAGATCTCTATTTTAATACAATATACTTATTTGAAGAATAATTTATTTGTAATAAATATTTTGCTAAGCAACTAAAAAGGTATTGTTTAGGTTTATTTTCAAATTGTTATTACCAATTTACTTACTTATTTCAACAGCTATCTTTTAAAGTTTTATTTTTAATTATAGTTAGAGAGGCCTTTGGTAACAAACAATTTATGGACCTTTCCAACAGGGACATTTTAAAAAGGGAGCTCTATGTATACTGAGTAATTTGGTAGCCCATTTCAATATACTTAACTTCTTTTTAGAAAACTAGTATTACTTAATAAGCCATACTCTGCCTTGAAGTGACCTAACAAGGAGTTTGGATAAAACCTTCTGGATAACTCTAAAGCAGAGGATAATGGCAAATCTACTTATTTGTAATTAACTGTTACTTAGAGGTCCAGTGTATTTTTTTCACCTGCAAATATTTTCTTTCCTACTAGAAATTTTTAGTCTATGTCTCTATTATTTGAATTTATTAGATGCATGATAGATTTAATTAATATATTTCCAAAATAAAGAACTATGTTTTTGACATCATTCACTGCCTAAAATTCTTTCTTGGCTATTTCTAAAATAAAACTGTTATTTTTCCAAATTGTGGGATATGAACTAAAATAACTATGGTGGGCATATACTCTTATTTTCCTAAAATTTGTA